TAGTTCAGTTAGACGCTTCCAGCATGCTTTTAACCACTAAACTAAACACTCCTGTAAAATGAAAACGACCTTATAACTGTGTTGGAAAAAATAAAGAAAAGTCTATTTGAGTCGAGTTAAACCGCTCCTCCTGGCTGAGTCAGTTGTGATTTAATATTTTCTTGTGCTTGATTGCTCTTAAGAAAAGAGTTTCATACTAACAAGATTTACTCAGACACAACTCCAAAAGTTCTCTCTCTCTCTCTCTCTTTATATATATATAAATTAATTTTCAACAATTAACGTGTTCTTAAAGCATGGCAATTCATTTGGGTAAAATGGATGTGTATATTTCAGCTTTAAAATTTGTACGAGAATTCTGTTTTAATTAAACTTTAGCAGGCTTTTGAATATTTATCTATCCTTTTTTAAAAAAAACATTTGACGGAACTCATAGATTTGTTTACGTGTCCTTCACACAAAATACTATCACACGTTTAAATGTGGAAATAAAATAATCTGCAATTGGGGATATTTCAAAGGAGAGTCCACAGAGGAAGTCTATTCATTTATGCTTCGTTTTTTTAAACCAAGTTGACTTTTTTTTCTTAATTTCTGCTCGATTGAAACTTATATATGTTTTTTGTTTAATGGCTTGAACGCTGAGATGGAAAAGAATAAAACCTCCATATGTGTGACAAGTGTACAAGTGCGACAATCGAAAGTCCCAAGCAGAGCAATGATAATGCAAATAAAGTACTGCTGGGCTGTGCAATAGAAAGATATGTTTGTCAGGTTAAATTATAAATTTGCGATGAACTACGGCATCATTAAGGCACCAAATTGTCCCCCCACCCTCCCCAATAGTTTTGCTGGTCTTGGCACTGGGAGATGAAGAAAAGGGTTAAATAGTCGGGTCAATACCTTGTGTTTTGTTGAGCAGTTAAAAATCTCACATGGGCTACTGCATGCAATTATTAGTTAATACATTAGAATCGAACACTACACAAGATCACACGATGCCTTTTTCTCCCTGTAGTTTCAATTTACTCAATAACAGTAAATGATTAATAGTAGACAGATGCCCAAGAGTTTGTAAGAGCCAAAGTGCATTTAAGTCATTTAATTACTCGAGCCTGTTCAGGGGTTGTTCAGAAGTTTGGTTGGGTCATCAGACCCTGTGAAAGGAAATTTGTTTTAAAGATTTGTTCAGCATTGCCTTTTTCCCCTCTCATCAAAACATGGTTCCAGTTGGGTGGGTTATTTGAGATAATGTTTGCTTTTCTGCTTCTGACTTTAAATACACATCGTGTTTTATTGTATTTTCTAAACCTGTAAAATAATGTGCAGGTGAACTGCATTAATAGTTAAGTCTTAGATATGCGGTTACAACTTGGTAAATACTACAAGACGCATTATTTTATTTACCAGATTTGCCCAATTCTGCTTAAGAAGAAGAAAAAAAATTGCCAAAATGAATAATTACTTTTGCCACACTTGATTCAGTTTTGACATTCGAGTGAAGAGTGATCTGCACACCCTTAAGAGAAAAACTGTTAAGAGAATTTATTAAAGAGAAAAAACACAGGTTTATTCCTCACAATGCAATTAAAGGAGACCTCTTAATTGGTATGGTGACAAGGTGAAACATGTCAGTGTCAGACTAGCAATTTGGAAGCAATTTTGCACTGTCGCATTTCACTGTAACGTTTGAAGTATGATGATGATTAAATCAGACTTCCATGAAACATAAAAATCCCATCAGAAAGAATTGATAACATATTTCTTTCTATAAAAAAAAACTATTTTACATTGCGACTCTGCAGTGTGTTATCTCTACATGAATGGCATTAACAATCTGCTTTACACGTGTAAATATTTGTTCTTCGCTGAAATGGTATTTATTTTGTATCTGAACTGTCATTTATTTAATCGTATAAAAAAGGCTGGTACTAGTACGAAGCAATTATGTAGAAGATGGATCCAAGTTTATGTTTTGGAACTTGTTGACCACGTTGTAAGGTAAGGAAATATCACACTAGGGTCATTGGAAAGGACTCAACTCAAGAACTTTCTTATTACTCACTAAAACATTAGACATTATTTTAATATGACACATTTTCTAGGAAACTTGATGTGATGTGTAGACATTATCAGACACATGAGTTATGTTTTATGTTTTTGATCTGTCCTTCTATGTTGGCCTGTTTGCCGCCTTCCTGTTCTCATCACAGTGTTGTTTTCCTATCATTTTACTGTTCCATTTATTTCTTTACAACATGCAGCTTTAGACAGATAAGATCGTTTTTCTTTTGCAAGGAGACATTTTACATTGCTATTGTTTTATGACTCCCATAAGTTTAACCAATTGAAGCAGAGAAAGTTGTAAATTGAATACTTCCAGTTAATACAGAGCTGGGGGTAATCTTTGTACACCTTATTGTTGCTGCACATGGATCAATGGCCAAATAATATTGTAAAGTTACAGCAATGCGGATATTATCGTTCACTGATTACTGCAATAAACATAGTTTTTGAAAAAGTTTTGAACTGCACAGCTATAGAAAAACTGCAAACAGCCATTGGTAGATATAGTATGTTAATTTTGCAAATGGATAGTAACATAAATTGATTTTCAATTCTTAAAAGACTAAATTGTAGGATACGGATGGTGTTTTGTTTCTAGTTTTCTCCAATTTGAGCAATGTCACCACCTCTGAGGTTTGTAAACGTAAAATCATTTTCTATATAATAAGAAATGCAAACATTTGAGTATCATTAGATAGTTTGGGTGTACAATATCTTGTTTTTAAATGTCCTTTAATTGTTTGAATAACGTGAGTTTGCTGACTCGCCTTTATGGTAAAGATGACGAGTAACATCGTGGAGCAGGTTTTGTATGTAGTCCAGTTTGAAAAGTGGTAATTGGCCCTGGGTCCAATATGGTCACAAGAACACCATCTCTCTCAACAGTGCCCCCTAATGCAAATAGTACATTAACCAATACAAAAAACAATTTTGAGTGGTACAGTATAGCTCGATCTGAGTCCATGCATAATAATAATAATCCTTGCATTTGATATAGAGCCTTGTCACATCTTTGCGCCGTCTCAAAGCGCTTCACAGAATATACTGTAAAGTGAATTGACTGTATATATTTTGCGTGACAAATCTCACAAGGTCGAACGAGCCAGAGAAAAATACATCTTTGGAAAGTCATGTTGGAAACACAACAGATGTGAGAAAGGAATTCAAGTTCCTTTGATTAAATTTGGACACTTAAAAAGTCTTTCCTTTTAAAACTGCCAGTTTAAAGGAGTTCAAACATCAAACTTTTTCAGACATCAAGTGAGAACACATGTTGTCCACAAATTCCATGATGATCAGCCCATATTAACCTCAAGGGACATTTGTCTTATTGCTAAACTCTGGTAGAATTTGCTTTTTAACCCGTTTCAAATAAAAGTAACAGAACTGAGTGCATAAAATCCTAAACAATTCATCAGGAAAGTGTTTTTGTTCCTCAGTCTTTAGCAAGTTTATATTTTATATACAGTACATTTTAAATTGTATATTTCTTCTCCAAAGTTAAACATGGAATTGTGCCGATTAGCTTCAGTAATATTTATACAGCTCTGTTAAAGGCACATTACTGGAGACAATCTGTGAAAGGTAACAAAAATTACAGGACACAAAAGTCCTCCCGAATTGAACGCTATGTAAGTACAAATGCAAGTTGTTGTTGTAATGACTGACTCCTTTTGATTAATCCGCACAAGGAACAATGGTTTCAGTTTGTGTGTAATGTCTCCAGTTTCAATGCATCACAGTGTTTTGTTTGGTCAGGCAGGTGTCTTGACACATGTGGAAACCCATCACCACGGTTAGGTGTATCCAAACAAAGCTGAGAATTCCATGCATCCCACCTAGACATGTAAATTCCAGAGATAAATTCTCTCCCTATAATAATAATAATAATCATTGCATTTGATATAGCGCTTTTCACGTCGGGAGGACGTCCCAAAGCGCTTCACAGAACACACTGTAAAGTGAATTGACTGTATATTTGTGGGCGAACGTGGCAGCCAATTGCGCACAGCAATGTCCCACAAACAGTCGTAGATTGAAAATGACCAATTTATTATTGTTTTGGTTTTGGAGGGATTATTATTAGGCTCTGTGTGGAGTAAGGAAACTTGCCCAAGGTTTCGCCCTCTGCCTGGAATTGAACTCAGGTCTCTCGCTTGCAAATTAACTGCCCCTCGCGATTTCTGAACTGTACATTCTTAAATCTGCCAAGCACATTCCTAGAGGGATGCATCCTGCTTATCGGATTCCGGAAAGTATTAGGCGCAGGTTGGCAAGAGCCGAGGCTTGCGGGCCCCTGAGTGCGCATTGGGTTAAAATGAAAGGGCAGAGTAAGGAGATTCAACTGGCAACCAGAACTGTCAACCTTATTAACAGGTATCACCCTCTTCCCCTCTTTTTACAGCACCCGCTGATAAATATGAGACACATTTCTCATTAGAAAATACAAAACTATTGGTCTTTAGCCCTTCTGATAGAGCGGAAGTCAGTGGAAGCTCCACACTGAAGAGGCAAACAGCAGTTCCTCGGTTGCAATCATCATTATAGCCTAGAGTCTTGGCCTCATGGTTCAGCACTCCAGCTGTGCACCGTGAATCATCTTTAAATGATTTTTAATTCCTGTTAAACAGACAAACCTTTTAAGGAAAGGAAACTCCCACCTCGGAGTCAGAATCTTGTAGGTTCAACCCCCATAATAGGACTTTACAATGCACTGTTGGAGATCCACTGCATTGCTCGGGGTTCAGTGTGTCAAATGAAATATTTCAGTATGTCAGATGAAAATGTCGTCTGCCTGTTGAGATGGATGTTAAATATCCCATGGCACTACTCGAAGAGAGAAGGGAGTTTCTGCCAGTGTCCTGGCCAACAATCTCCCAAATAAAATTGGTCAATTACTTCAAGGCTGTTTGTGGTACATTGATGTGCGCAATTAGCTGTGATATTCACCTACAAAATATAGATTCACTACACTTCACAGTAAATCCTGTGAAGTGCTTTGAGACGTCCTCCTGATGTGACAGGCATTATATTAATTGTATGGATTATTATTGTCTGAGCTGAGTTTCAGGATTCATAGATCAGACATTTTCTTATTTTCAGTTCATAAACCATTATGCAACAAACTCCACTTAATACAGCAATAAAACCACTCAGTTGTAAGGTGGAGATTTGTTACCAGAATATCAGCAAGAATCAACATTTGTTTCCTCGTTCTCTTTTCTATTTTTATTATTTAAACCTTTATTTCTAACAAAGTTCCTTAAAATATTTTTATTTATTGCTGGTTTCAAATGCTTAAATAACATGCCACCTCCAATTTTTGAACACTGATCCATACGGTAACACGTCTCTTGCAATTGGCTGAAGACATCAGCTCACATTCGCTCAGCTCAAAAGACTGCTCTTTTAGGAAATCAAGACAAAGATTTGTTGAAAGTTACGGTGTCGCAGCACACTTGCTGCTAGATTGATCTCTGAAACTATTTTGTAGTAAGTAAGCACTGTATTACTGCTGAATAAATTATGTCATTGGTAGGCTTGGCAATCTGCTCACACACCCCGACAAGGTAATCCATTGGCAGCACTCCAAAGAGTTGATGAAAGTCTACAGACTTGAAAAGAAATTAATTTATGACTTATCGTTATTAGTCTCCTGGGGAAAATACCCATATACAAAGGCTTGGCGATGCTGTTCGACAGTAGAGCTTTACACGTGTGAGATCCCAGGTTAAATCTCCAGCATCCCCGTAACAGCCACATTTTCCCATGTTCCCGTAATTTAAATGACTTTTCCATTTTGCCCTTCGGATGGATTTTCAATGGCGATTTCGGTTTGGGTGCTAAAAGATCTCATGGCACGATTTTAAAAAGAAAGAGTTTCTCCTTGTGTCTTGACAAATTTGCAAATGACCCGATTACTTACAGTAGTTGTTCATCTTATGGTATTAGTGGGACCTGGTGTAACTGGTTTTTATTAACTGCGATTTCACCAATTAGCTATTACGATCAGTTCTGCTTATATTTGCAAACCATTCGATGCACGAAGTGCTCTATATCAATGTGAGTTGTCGTCGTTAATATCAGTGCAAAGAACATAATTGAACTCCAGGCGTTGAGCGTTTAGACGGCACTGAGAAGCTATGAACACTGATTCCTGCTGCAAACATAACTATTCCAACTTATTTTCACAGCTGCCTCGAGTGGACAGATATGATCATGATCATGTTACTTCATTGGCCTCGACAGGTACCCAGAGACATCCTATCCTGATCAAAGGCAGATTAAAAGTGTCACTCCGAGTCCGAGATTGCACTGTGCTGGGCAATAGACCCGTACGGTGTAGAAGAGATGTCTGTACCGAACTGCGGACCGGACTGGATTTATTTCGAAAAGGAAAGTTAAAAAGTGGAAATAAGACATTGAGCGGCAAAGTGTTCAGGGAAGTTGGGTTACCTCAGTCACGTGTGGGTGGGGGAATACAGCCGCAGCCGTATCTCCTACAATGAGTGCTTCTTACTAACACTCTGTGGAATTCCATCACCACCAACAACTGACATTCATATTAACGCCCTTTCAGGTAAGGTAACGCCATCCTCCCCCGCCCCGGCCCCCCCACCCCACCTCCTCCCACGCCCCGGCCCCCCCACCACACCTCCTCCCCCGCCCCGGCCCCCCACCACACCTCCTCCCCGCCCCGGCCCCCAACCCCCACACCTCCTCCCCCGCCCCGGCCCCCCACCACACCTCCTCCCCCGCCCCGGCCCCCCCACCACACCTCCTCCCCCGCCCCGGCCCCCCCACCACACCTCCTCCCCCGCCCCGGCCCCCCCACCACACCTCCTCCCCCGCCCCGGCCCCCCACCACACCTCCTCCCCCGCCCCGGCCCCCCACCACACCTCCTCCCCCGCCCCGGCCCCCCCACCACACCTCCTCCCCCGCCCCGGCCCCCACGCCACCTCCTCCCCCGCCCCGCCCCGGCCCCCACCACACCTCCTCCCCCGCCCCGGCCCCCCACCACACCTCCTCCCCCGCCCCGGCCCCCCAACCCCACCTCCTCCCCCGCCCCGGCCCCCCACCACACCTCCTCCCCCGCCCCGGCCCCCCAACCCCACCTCCTCCCCCGCCCCGGCCCCCCAACCCCACCTCCTCCCCCGCCCCGGCCCCCCACCACACCTCCTCCCCCGCCCCGGCCCCCCACCCCCACCTCCTCCCCCGCCCCGGCCCCCCAACCCCACCTCCTCCCCGCCCGGCCCCCCAACCCCACCTCCTCCCCTGCCCCGGCCCCCAACCCCACCTCCTCCCCCGCCCCGGCCCCCCAACCCCACCTCCTCCCCCGCCCCGGCCCCCCAACCCCACCTCCTCCCCCGCCCCGGCCCCACCACCACACCTCCTCCCCCGCCCCGGCCCCCCACCCCACCTCCTCCCCCGCCCCGGCCCCCCACCACACCTCCTCCCCCGCCCCGGCCCCCCACCCCCACCTCCTCCCCCGCCCCCGCCCCGGCCCCCCAACCCCACCTCCTCCCCCGCCCCGGCCCCCCAACCCCACCTCCTCCCCCGCCCCGGCCCCCCCACCACACCTCCTCCCCCGCCCCGGCCCCCCCACCACACCTCCTCCCCCGCCCCGGCCCCCCACCACACGGAGGAGGCGGGGCCAGCGGTTGCCAGGGGGGAGGAGGCGGGGCCAGCGGTTGCCAGGGGGAGAAGGCGGGGCCAGCGGTTGCCAGGGGGAGGAGGCGGGGCCAGCGGTTGCCAGGGGGAGGAGGCGGGGCCAGCGGTTGCCAGGGGGGAGGAGGCGGGGCCAGCGGTTGCCAGGGGGGAGGAGGCGGGGCCAGCGGTTGCCAGGGGGGAGGAGGCGGGGCCAGCGGTTGCCAGGGGAGACGGGCAAGCGGGCGGCCTGAGGCCAAGGCCGCAGCCTCTCAGCCTCTACCGTCCCATGGGTTGAACGCGGTTGAAAATGGATCAGTGACTGTGAAGGCGGAGAGAGAGTGAGAGAGAGAGAGAGAGTGAGAGAGAGGAGTGAGAAGCCAAAGGAAAACTTCTCGGTGTGTTTTTTTTTCCTTTTCCCCCAACGAATGAAAGCGGCGAAACACCTGCTGCGCCCCGTCGGTGACTCACTCACTGGCAACTTCAGGGCTCGGCCACATGAGCAGGTAATCTTCCTCCTCCCTCCTCCTCCTCCTCCTCCTCCTCATCATCATCATATAGAGATTATAATGTCGTAAGAGAGAGAGAGAGAGAGAGAGGACGACACCCACCCACACAGAGGAGAGTGTCAGAGAGAGTGTGTGTTAACAATCCTGATGATGATGATGATGATAATAATATTAATTAATGACTTAATCAATAATAATAATCCTTGCGCTTGACGCGGCGCCTCATCGGGTCCCCCCTCGAGACGTCCCGGCAGCGCTCCGCCGCAGTACACCGCCGAGCGAATCGACTGCACGGCTGCTGCGGGCAGAACGGCCGCAGCGGCGTCCGACAGACAGCCATGGATCGAGGGACCGATATACGATTATTCCTTCTTATTCTTTTTTTTTTGAAGGGATTATTCCCGTTCCCCCACCCCCGTCCCCCCACCGCCCGCCCGCCCGCCCGGGAAAGAGATCCGCCAATTGACTGACAACCGGGTTCCTTACTTACTGCTGGGTAAACGTGTGCGTGTGTGTGTGTGGAGTAAGGAAACTTGCCTAAAGTTTCACCCCCCCCCCCCCCCCCCCCCACCACACCCCCGGGAATCGAACCCGGGTCCCTTAGTTTGCTTGGGGTGTGCTCTAAGCATTACGCTGAGGGACTGCACACAGTACAGACTGGGGAGCGGCGTCAGTGCTACCCCCCCTGACTATCCTCCCGAGGGGGGAGTGGGGGGCCGGGGGGGGGGGGGGGTGGGGGTTCGCAAAAATCCTCCAGTGCACCGCTGATGGCAGCACAGCCCACCCGGCCTGGCTCATCGGCAGACCGGTCGGTCACTGCGGGCAGGGAAGTCGACCCGCTCGGCTCCTGTAACCCTGCAAAGCCCTGGTGCGCAGGGTGGTCCTCGCCGGTCAAGCGTCGGGGAAGCTTGGCAGACAGCAGCACTCGCAACGCCAAGCTGCGCGATTCCAGCTGGTTACGGCTCCCAGAAGTCAATACGCTGTCCGGGAATTAGGTAAGCGGGATGCGTCCCTCCAGGGAGAGTGTGGGCATTCCATTCCAATAAATACCTCAGGAATTTCCAAGTAGAGGTGGGATGCATAGAATTCGCAGTTTGGATTGGATACTCTTAAGCACGGTGATGGGTTCCCGCGTGTATCGGACCCTCGGCTGTCCAAAACAAGGAGGCCACCTCCTCACAGCGCCTCACATATAATTTTGGAATATCATAACTGAAGTGTTCAATTTGCTTTTTTTTTCCCAGATTGTGTGTTACGGGCAAGAGGCCTGCTTTACAAATGGTAAGTGACTTTGTTTTGATATCAAAAATCACAGGTTACACATTTCCCCAGTCACTGCACTTCACCTAAACTTGTTTTTGTAAAGTGCTTTGAGATATCCTTGTCGGGCGTTGTTATAGTATTTAAATTTATTGTCCCGATTGACAATAAAATGAAGCTATTGCAACAATACTCGGTGGCAGTGAGTAAAGCAAATCAAATGTTGGAATGATTTAAAAGGTCAATATTGAGCCAAAATAGTGGGGTAATCCTGTCACTTTATAAATCTTTGGTGTGACCGTATTTGGAGCACTATGTACAGGTACTGATTACCGCAGTACAGGAGGATGTTGCAGTGACTGAGAAATACAGAGGGCAGTTAGATTGAGGGGATGGAGAGACTGGAATATGAGGAGCGATTTGGTGAACTGGGCATGTTCAGCCGGGCAAAGAGAAGGTTAAAAGGTGATATGATTACTGTTTTTAGTATTCTAAACGGACCAGATAATGTAAGCCATGAGAAGATGTTTCATCTTGTCCAGAACAGTAGAACCAGAGGATACAGTCTGCGCTTGAAAGGGGGGTAAATTCAAAACTAATCTGTGGAAACATTTCAGTGAGCGAATGGTAAATCTATGGAACAGGCTCCCTGGGGAGACAGTGAAAGCTGAAAATTTTACTTACTTTTGCACATTTCCTAACACTTTCTTCGGTCATTTGCTCAATAGGGATCCTTCCCTTTCAGTTCTGGCATGCTTTAAGACTTATGCAGATTTTCTGTTCAGTTTCTGTTCAGTCTGCTCATAAGCCATCGCTGAATTTGTGTCACAATTGGAAAGAAAACTCAACAATTGGACCTTGCAATGAGGTCACTAATGCCAGCAAGGGAGGTTGTCCATGGGAGCAGTCAGTAAAAATAAAAATCCTTGCATTTGATATGGCGTCTTTTTGAGATGTTGAATTAACAGTACAATTGTAAAGTTTTTGTTGTCGAGGTTTTGATATATTTGATAGTGCATTTGTGTTTATAATGAATAATATTAAATTACTTAACAGAAATCACCTCTTGGATTATCAGGAAAATTAGAAGTACTTGGTGCAGAAGGTATGTATTCATATTTAACCACATTATTATTTTCTGTGAATAAATATTTATTGATGAGAAAATAAACTGACTATTATTAATTTAATACAGGTTGTTGTTGATTCTGTATTAGAGTGAGACTGAATACCCGCCACCTCAGCTGAACCCTTCAGTATATTAGCTATTTGTCAGTTCCATTTTGTCTTGTGTTTCAGAGTGTTAACCTCAAACGCATCTCATAAACATACACCATATGCGCTTTTTATGACATCATTACAGAAAATCAACATTCTTAATTCTTCTGCGGTCATTTCTACTTGTTGGTTTCGCTGTATATCATTAGCAACATGTTGATGGTCAGCTACAATTTTATTCCTTTGTGTTGTCTGTAAACAGCTCCTTTCTCACTATAGATTTATTATTATTATTATTATTGTTGTGGTATTCAGTTTTCTTAATGAATTTCATTCATTAATTGTGACTAAAGAAGCACTGCTTTGGAAATCAATTGTAAAACATTCATTACATTTTACAATACAAATCCAACATATACAAATAGGATACAAATCCTGTTTGTATATGTTGGTTGGAGAGAAATTCCTCCAGTTACGTTACTAAAATTTCTTCTGTTTTTGTCTGTTATAGCTGGAATTATTGTGAATACTTTTCAAGTACTGAGCCAGTAAGTAATGTACTACACTTGGGCCAGGTCTATGCAAGGTTTTTGTTGGTGCTCAACTTTTCAAAGCTTAAAGAGTTTGGGGATTTTGCTTCTAAAATTTAGAAATAAAATCCAAAAGCTATCAAAATATTAATTTATTTTTAATAAATGAATTAACTTTGAAGTTAGGTAACTCATAGCATTTCTTTTTAATTACATGTTTAACATTGTTTGACAATCAATTGTCTATATGCTTTGGGCAGGATAACTTATTTTAAACCTTTGCTCCACAGGTAATTTGTTTAGACTGTGTAAGACTGAATGCAGTCTCCCACGGTTTGTTCTTAGGATTACTCCAATTTCATTTAAGTGCGGTGTTATTTTAATCTTTGTTTTACAGCTTAGGTCAACCTTTAAGTGAAGAAATGGGTGTTTTAAATTGAAATCACACTTTGAATATACTGTTATAACATTTCTTGTATGTCCATCCCACTGTCTGCTTGTATGTACTCTGACCATGTCTCTCCCAGCTATGTTTTTGCAATGCAGATGTCCTTGTTGCGAAACATTTTATAATTGTTCCATTGTGTTTTCCTAGACCGTGTTCTGCAAAAAAGATAGCTTCTTCAGTAATGGTAAGAGTATGACAAGGGCCTTCAACCTCTCTGCCCCCACCCTCTGGAACTCCATCCCACAGTCTCTCCACCTCGCCCTCTCCCTTACCTCCTTCAAGACCTGTCTCAAGACCCTCCTCTTCGACTGTGAGTTTGGTCACCCCTACGCTGCCCGCCCTCCACGCCCCCTGATCCCAACCACCAGCTCGGGTCTGGATCCCTGACTGTCCAGCGCCTTGGAACATCCTCCTGATGTGAAAGGCGCTATACAAATGTAATTTGCTGTTGACAAATGTTTTTGACTGGAAAATATCTTAGAAAAATCTTAGAATTTCACTTTTACAGGTTTCAACAGGAAAATTGGAAGTACTTGATCCTGAAGGTATGTTTTTCTAGCCTTTTGAAGGAAGGGCTCAACTACTGTGTTCAGGGAACTCAAAATAGATACTATCATGTGGAAGACCTGGTTGACAATATGTTTGTTGTTTCCTTACCTTTTCTGTTAAAAAATTAACATTTTATTTCTACACTATTTGTTGGTATTTGGATGGTGTAATAGCTCCAGAAGATGGTTGGTAAAAATAATGCTAGTTGTAATTCTTATAAGCTTGGGTAGATGACACCGGTTCATCAACAAAAAGAAACACGTTATGGAGAATTACCAAATGGTCTTACTGTTTGCTTGTTCTGACGTGTCGTCTCTTGTTGTTTTTCAGACAACGCTGCTGTTGACAAAGGGGAATCAGCGACCCGGTATGAGAAGTTTTATGATGACAGCTTCCAGTCTGAATTCTGAGATGATCTTGGATTTTGCTGCATAATTGGACCTGAATAGACAGAAGGTTGTGGGTTCAAGCCCCGCATAAGGACTTGGAACTCATACAGTTTAAACTGACTCTCCAATGCAATGTTGGAGATTGGAGATTGTACCCTCCGTTCCTCCGGCTCCGGTCTGCTCCACGTCCCCCGCCCCAATCGCCCTACCATTGGTGGTCGGGCCTTCAGCCTCTCAGCCCCGAGGCTCTGGAACTCCATCCCCCAGTGCCTTCACCTTGCTTCCTCCCTCTCCTCCTTCAAGGCCGGTCTCAAAACCTTTCTCTTTGACCGAGCCTTCAGCTCCCCTCTCGACTCTCTTCCCCCTTCTCGCTCCCTCCCATCCCTCCCCTCACCCTGACCATTTCCCCCCTCCTCGCTCCCTCCCCTCACCCTGACCATTTCCCCCCTGCTCGGGTCATGACCCAACTGTGCAGCGCCTTGGGACGTCCTCCTGACGTGAAAGGCGCTTTATAAATGGAATCTTGTTGTTGTTGTTGTTGTTGCATCCTTTGTTTGAGACATTAAACCGCCTGCCAGTTCAGGAGCAGCTTATAAAAGAGGATACTTTTCTAGTCTGAGCACATCTATATAAAGGGCTTCTCCAGCTTGTTCTGATGAACGACTGCTCCATCTGTATTCCCTCTATCTTTCTTATCCATTTGTTATCCTTTTACTGCTCTACATAACTATTTTTCAATTTGCTGTGGATGAAAGTGTTTTTTTTGCAGTGTAAAGATATAATAATCCTTACAGGGCCTTTCATGTCGGGAGGAGGTTTCAAAGTTGCAGATGAGGCACCTCAAAAGTTTTCCATTTCTCTCCCCGTTTTGTTAATTTAAGGATCGTCACATCTCTGTCTTATATGTGAGATACCAATTCTCAGAAACATTTGCAAAGAAGGCACAGGAAATGCACAATCACGAATGTGGTGCCAACAGTTTTTGGTTTGAAATGAAGCTAGACCCTATTATTTTAATACACTTTCAGAAACAAACAACTGACTCTACGTTGATCAGGCATGATGACTTAATGACTGCTCTGGGATGCTGACTACTCTGCATGAGGGGCGCTATATAAATGCAAGTTGTTGTTGATGCATCCTTCGCCTACAAAATACATAGACATAACTCTTCACATTAAATCCTGTGAAGCACACTGAAACTTCCTCCCGACGTGACCAATATAATAATAATAATAATTCTTGCATTTGATATAGCACTTGTCATGTCTTCTAGACGTCTCAAAGTGCTTCACAGAATAGACTGTAAAGGGAGTTGACTATACTCGTGGGCGAAATGCAGCAGCCAGTTTCGCACAGCAGTGTCCCACAAACAGTTGTGGATTGAAATGACCAATTTATTATTGTTTTTTTTTCTTGAGGGATTATTATCAGGCATGTGGAGTAAGGAAACTTGCCCAAGGTTTCACCCTGCCAGGAATCGAACCCAAGTCGCTCGCTTTTAAAGCGAGTGTTCTAACCACTGTACAGTATCTTATTTTGAAATGTTTCATTTTCTATTTCTGAAAAGTGGAAGATGTTTGGATACATATTGTAAGGTAGTATTTCATACTATGAAATTATTTTCCTATTAGAAATGGAATGTACCAACAGAGTCCATCAACATCATCAATGCAATCGAGCTACCACAAAACACATGTTTTGGACACAACAAAAAAAAACTTCCATATGCAGGAAAGGACAGGTAGTTTTTTATTTAAATTTTAGCATTTTTGTGATTTCATCATTCATTGCTCTATATTTATAAATAGTACAATCTATATGTTATTCTTCAGAACTTTCTAATGATCTGATGACCTTTGGACAAAAGTTCCACTTTTGAGATCTACTTTGAATATCATGGATTGGTTTCTTCCTAGTGACTGAAACATGACATTTCGGTATACTCATTACTGATATTGTAAAACATTTTTGTTTTGCGTGAACCAGCTCGGACTAGCTGGATGTACAGGAAATACTGTACCAAGTACTCTATCACAACACCTTAATTGCAATGCTTTCTTGTCACATACTTCTCAGAAATGCTTGATATCCTTTCAGAAATTAATTGGTCTTCATCTGTTTACAGATGGAAAGGATCAGAAAGCCGAATCATTGACAACACACAACTCAAGCAGTCTCTCAACAAGTGCAGAAAGTTCGAGCAGCAGTGGGAACTGTGCTGAGTGTAAAAGTGAAGATGGAGATGATGAAGGGAGTACACCAAGCATTCAGTCACACAATTTGGGCAATACCGTAGAAGCTTTGCAAAGCTCTGGGGATGATGATGAAAATGAAGAAGATGAAGACAATGGTGAAGAAAACGGTGAAGCTGAGGGAAAAAGAGCACCAATACAGTTGCTTGGGGAGGTGAAAATTATTTTTTAATTATAAAAAAAGTAATATATTGTACCAAACTGAATAGACATACTATTGAAAAGGGAAATGCAAGCCATATGGTTTGTTATTAGAGTATTACATAGAACTTGAAAAAATACAACTTGTTACTGTGTGTGAATAGCATGCGAATGGAGTTCAAAATAAATAAATAGACTAATAATTGGGTCACTCAATCCGCAACTGTTTGTGGGACACCATGTCTGCCGTGTTTCGCCCACAAAATATACAGTCAGTTCACTTTACGGTATATTCTGTGAAGCGCTTTGAGACGTCTCAAAGACGTAATAAGGCGCTACATCAAATGCAAGGATTATTATTATTACTATGATATCAAATGCAAGGATTATTATTATTATTACTATGATATCAAATGCAAAGATTATTATTATTATCAATTGCAAGCAATATTATTATTATATTCTTCTGTGGTATCCCACAGAATGCAACTAGGTTCCCATGTTGCATTGATAAATTTGTGTTCCAACCTTGCAAAGCTACCCTTGCACATAATACATCCTATGGGATGGGATCGCCTTGTCCTACTCTCAGCGTGCAAGGCTGTGATTGTCTGTGACTTCCACTGACTGAATGGAATTTCTTCCCCCACTATAAGTCACATCTGTAAATTATGGAATAAATATGCACGGCCGTTGCTAATTTACTCCCGAAATTAACTCATTCCCCATTAACTCTTTCAATGTTACAATTGAAAATGGATTCCCATCAATTTGCCCTGTGTAGTTTATCTTTTCACCCATCGAGTAGATGGTTGCAAGATGCGAAAGTCTGGAAGCATGCTTAGAAAGAGTATTGTGTTTGGCTTTGCTAGGAGTTGTTTTTTAAAATTCAATTATAACCAGTCTCTATTAGCAGTTATAACCAATTTCTAATGTTGCACACTAGATTTTAGTTGAAAGCAGTATGCTTTTTTATTTTGTGTTTAATCATGTTATATGGTTGCAGTGTAAAAATCACAGTGCATTTCAGGTTTTAGTACTTTTAGTTGTATGGTTACAAACAGTGTTTTGTGAAAAAATTATAATTGATGGCAGATGATCCTATTCTTTAGCAATAAGCACTGTTGATGAGCAGTGATACTGTTCTAGAGTGTCACCTGCTGGCCTGAGAGGTGCACTTTTTGTCAGTAATTTTTTATCGAAAGGCTACAAATTATATTTGGAATTGTGATTCCAGAGCAGAAGAGTTCTGCAAGTGTGAAAGAAATTGGTTAGAAAATAGAATAATCTAACAAAAATTCTATCATTTAAAGTGTTGTGATTAATTAAGGAAGCGTCCTCAACAGGTGAGAAAAGGTAAGGAAAGCTACTTTAGCTTTAACGGAAACCAATTCCTATTTTACTCTGTTATTTTTACATAATAAAAGAATTGTTTGCTTTGTCTATGTTGCAAAAAGGTAAGTCCACATTAATTTTTATTAGAATATTAAATATAAGAAAATTGATCAAAACCTTTACAGAATATACTAGTTGTTTGCTATTAATGCTTCATAATATGGGCAATTTTCCAGTTTTATACAATAAATCACTGGTCATGACCCAAATTGTGTGCAGTATTCTAAATATAGCCCAACAAGAGCACTATATAACCTAAGTATGATATCTGCTCTACATTCTGTAGAAATCTTGATACTGTTATGCATGGGCATCAAAACCCTTAACATGATTTTGAGTTAAGGGTTCATAATAATAATAATAATAATCCTTGCATTTGATATAGCGCTTTTCACGTCGGGAGGACGTCCCAAAGCACTTCACAGAACACACTGTAAAGTGAATTGACTGTATATTTGTGGGCGAACGCGGCAGCCAATTGCGCACAGCAATGTCCCACAAACAGTCGTAGATTGAAAATGACCAATTTATTATTGTTTTTGGTTTTTGGAGGGATTACTATTAGGCGTGTGGAGAGATGGGATAAATAACAAAGGAAGCTTCGAGAAAAGATAATTGAGGCCAGAACACAACTCATTTTTTAAAAAATGCACTTATATAGTGCCCTTATAGTGGCACCTCGGAGCACTTGATACTTTGATGAGAAGACAGTAGAAAAGGATGAGATCAAATGGGCTGAATGCTCTTTTTTTTCATCTGGACCAAACTTATGTTCTTGTGACATGATCATCATTGGAAGGACAATTATTTTGAAATATAGCCATCTCAAATAAATGAAGAAATTGTCAATAATTAAAATTGTCACTGAATAGCATTAATTGAGGGTGGGTCCTATTGTGATATCACTGTGGAATAATACATTCATGTGATTCATAGGAGAGAATAAAAAAAATCTAAAGCAAAATTACATACAAATTAAGAGCCTAATGTATACGTCACTCTAATCACTTCATTCCCGTGACCCAAAATTTGAGGATGTTCTTTATAAAGATCTATTTTTTNAATGCCACATTGGATGGGATAAATTGGAATACTTTGCAGTAATTACATAAAATAACATAAGTGCCCAATCCTTTTCAGCTTCTTGTTGAAATGAGTTCCATTTCCAACACTAGTGAGCACCCTGACTTTGGGGTGCTGCCAGGCAACCATAAATTAAAATGATTAACTTATTTACAGAATTAATAACTACCTCAATTTTAGTTGACTTTCGTGCATTCAGTCATGTTTTGCGTGGGGTTCATTGTCAAAGTCAGAATAGTGTGAGTTTGACAAGTTTTTATTGATTCTTCGATTTCACAATGACACGTGTCAAAAATAAAATACTTTTGTTGTCAGAGCTAAAATCGGGCAGTGAAACAAATATGACAGCATTTGTAAAAAAGCACACTGTACAAAAGCTATCAGCATGTTTCCGACCCATATGCTTTCTGTACTGGAGAGAAAAATAGAAGGCAAAGCTCTAAAAATAGTTTGCAGTATTAAGATGCCCTAAGGACGAGTACAATTTTGGATCCTTTATCTACCCGAGCTTCCTTGGTTTTATCTTGAAATGAAACATTTTACATACTCATGCATCAATTAAATTTGATTATAATAAGTCTGACTATAATTTTAGAAATATTAGCCCAAAATTGTGATGCACAGGTTATTGTATTATATAAATTAAATTTGATCCTTGCTCTATTGGAAACAGGTACTTAATTGTTTCATGGACTTCATTTTTTCCCCATATCAATTATGCATCCAAATGAGAATATTTCACAATCATGAAACATGAACACCATATATTTATAGACCAGTAACTGCTATCATTTTATGAGCAGTTTAAGAGCTATTATCTTATTTGCAGTAATCCATGAAATTATTGGAATACACTTTCCCATTTGGGTTAATAGATTATAACAGTCAAAATACTGGGTTTATTTATCTGAGGAAGGGATACTCTGCACAAAAAATTGCCCTTTGGTGAAAGCTAATAGTCAAATTTAATAAGTGTGCAGTTCATACTGAGTGCATAGATGTCTTAACCTATGTTGATTTTGAATATCCATAAGCATATTGAGGAATGTTTGCCAGTTTTAAGTGCGCCTTGGGACGTCCTCCCGATGTGAAAGGCGCTATACTAATGTAATCTTGTTGTTGTTGATGTTCACAGACTCTGGGGAGAAATTCCACCTGAATCTAAATTTACTCTTCCTTATACCAAACACCATTTGGCAAATTATTAAATTCAATCTTAATTTTTAAACTGCTTATCAGTAGTTTGTAAAATAAGGTTAATACTAGTTCCAAGTGGAATATCTACCCTTACATATCTGTAGTTTGTGTTCCAATAGAAATTAACTTGCATTTATTTACATTAAAGTTCATTTGCCATTTCTTCGTCTAACTACTTAATTGGGCAAAATCTTGGTGAGTTTTGTTTATCTGCTTTCTAATTACTGTAATTACTTGACTATGATTACCTGAGAGCCAAATTATCTTTCCCTTAATATTATTTTTCATCAATTATTTACTCAATCCAATGTTTTGAAATGTTGTTATTGATTTACTTCTAATGTGTATTATTGTCTCTGTTTACCAGAGGGAAATAACCTTTCTTATTTAAAATGGGAATATAATTCAAGTTTAACTAGCCTCTTATCAGAACTAGAATGTATATCCCAGGGATATCTAGTGAATCATCACTGGGTGCCATCCAAGACTTTTGTATCCTTTCTAAGATTAGGTGCCCGAAACTGAACACAAAACTTCCAATGAGGTTTGACCATTGCTGCATAAAACTGGTGCCTCACTTCTTGCTGACAAGAAAACTCAAATACTAATGAGACTGCAGAAGATTGTAGCATCCTAGATGAAGTAGATTTTTAGTGTTTGTTCATATTGTAATCGACTAGATCACACAATTAAAAGGACCAAAGCACACCATTATTTTTTTTCCGTAATACAATTATGTCTTTGATGTTTGTTTTCATAGTTCTTGAAAGCAGTAATGGATCGCGACTACTTGATGGCAAAAAAACTGTGTGAAATGAGTAAGTGTAACGTTTGTTTCTTAGGTATTGGAAAATCAGAAACTGAAACATATTCAGCATTCAATGTTGAATTGATGATACAGTTCCCCCACAACTTGGTGTCGTCTGCATATTTAACTACCGTCCAGTAAATCTATGAATCCAGGTCATTAATTTATACAGGGACATAGGGGTCCCAGTACAGACTCACTTAATACTTCTCCCTATTTTGACGAATCTCCCGTAATGACTACCCTACGTTTCCTTCCCTGTTTCAAATCCATGTCCATATCTTACCCTTGATATCCAATTCCATTCTTAATAATCAGTATACAATAGTGTTTAGCTGTTAAAGTCCAGTCTGAAGACTAATTGTGTTTTGTTCTTTCTGTGCTATCCAATTTGCAGTTCTCATTTATGAGCCTGATAATTCAGAGGCCCTACAGTTTAAGCCACTTATAGAGGCAAAGCTACATATAGGTAAGCCTGAGAAAACTGATCTTGTATCTTATAGATCTCATTGAAACATTCAGAAGAGTTCATACTAAATATATTCATACTAGAAATAGTATTGTTATACAAAGAATTTTACTTTAAAATTCATTAAAACATGTATATTTTAATTGTTTCGTTTTATACTGTTATTTTCATCTATAAAAAGCTTTACTTGCTATCTTTGAATGTGACTTTTTCTTGCTTTGTAAAATATGCCCTAAATGTCCTGAAAGGAAATAATTTACATTTTTATGAGAAAACTGTTAACTAGATTAAGTTTTTGCATATTTTAATTAGTTTTTTTAAAAAAGAAACTGATGTATTGTGATTTACTGTGCAGAATGTATAATTGGTTGCTTGATTTTAAAAGAACTGTTTTAAATTCTAAAGTAACACACCCTTATGATATTCTGATTATTTGAACATAGCACAGCTAACGGAAATTAGAAATAGTGTCCCATTTTGCTAGTCCATATGTTTTAAAAGGGTTTTATTATTTCAAAATAAAATAATAAATGTTTTATTATTTCAAAATAAAAGCTACAAATTATTTCTGGAGGGAAAAGGAAATCTGTTAATTTGTAGCCAAATAATATAATTAGCCTTTTATGTTGAGTTATGCAGTCATTAATAGAAGTATTGGACTCATATGCAGCTCAGTATGTGGAAGAGAGTGGTTGGGAAAAGACCAGATGTTAACAATCACTACCCTATGGAATCCAATGTAATTCTCGGTTTGCACTTTGTGATAGAATAATGCCATAAAGGGGATGAGAAACAGTTTTTTGTGCCCTGGTCAATTTCTTGTGCTGTGACAGGATCACAGTCACTGCTTTTCTGCACACTTCAGAAAAGGGTTGCCGTGTCTACATTCCTGATTTTGTTTTATGGAGTCAAACCTGCTTTCAAGTCTTTCTGCCATATACAGAAAGCTATCTCTATCTCTATCGTTAAAAAAGGTTCTTGCACAGATGTTCATGGCATCACACAAGCTCATAAATTCATTTTAAGTTCAACACAACTTGCACTTAGCTCTGACTGACCCAATTGCTCAGAAGATGATTGAAATGCCCTCACACCAGGTCTGTGTAGACTAGAGCAGTCACCATCGACACACTGGTCATTTTGTGCAGGGGGGCATCTGCTCATTACTAAATTGTTTTGATGAGCTTTGAAAATAGGCAATATTATTTCCAATATGACCCTAATTGGTCATACTTGTCACCATGGAAATGCTATTCAACATCAGTTTTTAGTTCCTGGGGCATAACATTAGATTTTTTTTGGTGCTTTACAACTGAATGTTTCCTTTAAGGCACAGTAAAGAATGATGCACTGCAAGATATTTTGGTAAAATGAACCATTGGTGTCTGCTAATGTATGTTCTTAATGTGTATTTCCACAATTGCCCCTGTGTGCCATGTACTTCTCCTTGATGGATGTATGTTCCTGCCCTGCTAGATGCTCCTCTAGGTGTAGGGGATAGCATTGATGAATAGCTACTTAGCCAAGTACAGAGAAGATACAGATTGTCTGCTGTCTGTATCTCCAACTACTCCTGATAGACCTATATTAGTACCATTGATAATTAGAGCAACAAGTACTCATATAGCATATTCTGTGAAGCGCTTTGAGACATCTAGAAGACGTGAAAAGCGCTATATCAAATGCAAGGATTATTATTATATTATTACATTCAGTACTTTCAGATTTGGGACCTTCTATATTATATTCTCTATGAGATTATGCCTATCAGTGAGAGTTCTTAATCTCTATCATATTTGCTTATAAATGTTTTTTAAGATTAATTAAAGGTAGCCTTGGACGTGACTGTACCTTCGACTCGTAACACTTCTTAACAAGTTTTATTTTAAATTATCCTAATTTTTATGGAGGTGTTATGTTGGGTCCACTACGGCAGACTATAATCCAAACAAATACGTTTGGTTATTTATTTGTGAGATAGAAACAAATATCTGAGTACTAGACTTTGCCACACCTACCCACGTCGTATAAATTGGACAACTTGATACAGGCCTCATGCTCTACCAGTCTGAAAAAATGATCTATGGATGAAAAATTCAAATTGGTTGGATATCATAAAATTCTAGAGTGTTAAGTCAAGTATTATAATTATTGGAATGAATGTGCTTCAAGCTTTGGGGACATGGAATGCAATAACACTACTACTTTTGTGTGTAAAATCCTGTATATATGTTTTTAGTTTCTGTAATTTATGATTGGTTTTGATTAATGTAATATTCCACTAACTTTAGGTCATAGGTACTACTTATTCAGTGAGGAATATTTTATTCTTAAATTTGAATTCGACTGTGATTAAGCCAAAATTTGAGGGGTTTTCATATTCTGAAAAAAATATTATTTTAAAATATTATAGGAGAAATGGCCTGTTATTTACATTGATACGTAGACTCTGTGAAAGTACCTTTTATAATTTTTTTTTGCTATGTTCACATTACAGTCCATAAGGGTCACTAAGTGAAGTGACTTAAACTATGTGTTGTGTACGTATGATAGGATTTTCTCATCTTTAAGTAGAATATCTTGAATTTGTATCCATTTGAGATAAATATTCTTCCAAATTCCTTATTCTATTCTATATTTCCTTAATGTTAATAGATAATTCCTGAAATACATTTTTTAACCACCCTTACCACTTTGGACTGTTCCCAGCATGACCTACACCCTCAAAAAATTAAGTTTACAAACATTTGTATGTGATAACTATACGTGAATGTCCTATTTACATTAGATGAAGCAACTCATCAAAATGATGAAGATGACGATATTGAGTCACACAATAGCGATGAAGGTGGCAGTGAGGAGAGTGATGGTGAAGAGGATGAGGAATATGTGAGCAGTCCAAATTCAGATGAGGAGCATTCAGGTTCATCTAGCAATGAATCTACTTAGAGGGCTTCAATTACACAAACACGTATGTTGCAGCACTTCTAGATTGGCTTTGGATTAGTCATCAATCAAGTTATTCATTTGTCGTGATTTTGTTTTTATTAGCTTAAGTTATTTTAAATTCAGTATATGCAGTAAAACATTCCTACAAGTTTAAATGCATTCTATAATTACTATTTTAAAGAGCAAGTTTCACCGTCAGTGCCTTTTGCTACAAATCAGAGTTACAAAGACTAAGGTAAACTAAAACCTTTTAAAAATTATTCCATAAAATATATCACTGGATGATTACAAGAGTGCATTACTGGTTTATTACATTGGGAACCGAAAGAGATGCAGAAAACATCTTTTGGACATGAATCATCACCTTATAACTCTGGTTACAGTTTAACTCTAGTTTGCACTTCTGGATCTATACTTTTAGACCTCTTTTAATCCTACAATTCAGTGGATAAAACCATTTCTATCTACTTTTCATGCTTAAGGTTACTTCTAATAGACTGGAATCCAATCACGCTGCCCCTCCCCAACAACCCCTCACTTGCGTTACTTACAGAGAACCCACAAGCCCATAAATTATACATTGCTATTTTCTACCTGATATTTTACGGGTTGTTCAGTCAAAGCCATTTGATGGTCAATTCAAGTACTTTTTACTATTTCAGAATACATCTACTACTTTTACTACTTATCAGACTTCTACTATCAGCACCATATACCTCTTCCAAAGTATGTTCTCCATAGAAATTGGGTAATGACAATTTGCTGACAGTTTCTTATTTTGTGGCAACACTATTGTGTGTGGAATGCAGTTCTATATTGCCTAAAACTATAGTAAAACAAGTAGATATCCAGATAACCTGTGGCATTTTCTATGAATAGTAGTGTTTTGAATTGTAACCTTGTATCTCAGGCATGTGATATGCTTATCCCCCGATCCTTCTACATCTGGATGAATTATATCTTGATCACCTTTACATCACATTTAATGCCAACGAGACAATCACCTGTTAGAATTGTCATGGCATCTGCTTTTAAAATCTTAGTCTCAACAAGCCAGTACCAGGGAGGGCTAAGATGGCAAATCAAATGATTTGTTTATTATTATTACCAAAACCGTAGTTAACTATAAAATTGACAAAATACAGTACCATGTGGTACCATTGTGTTTTCCTGTGTAACTGCTGAAAAATGCAAACCTTAGAATTCTTAAATACATCTCCCAATGTTCAGCTTCCCTCTCTGACACATTTCCTGTCGTTCTAGCTCCTAACATCATATGAGTGAAGTGTGGTCAAGGTTCTATCATAATCAAATGAGGCCTCGAATTCATGGTTTGAGTGCTGCTTTAATTGTTCCCAATACTGTAAAAGGCCTAAAAGGGGAGAAAGCCACAATATCCTGTTCTATTTATATCAATTGTTCTTTTATTTATTCTGTCTTTGCTTGTTTTGAATATCTGTATTTAAACAGTGAGTGTGAATTATTGTCAGGGAAACTGACTTGGAGTTATTGAACCTAGCAGGGTGAAGAACCTGAATTAATGAAGGCAAAGATGCATTCATTTAACTTAGGGAGCTTCTGCAATTAGTGTGTTCTTTCAATTGTGTATTTATCAATGGATCTCTTTGCACATCTGGTTTAGTAACTGCTCCAGACCAGTTGCCCCATTGATGCACTCATTCTTGCAACAAAACTTAACGTAGAAAGAAGATACAAATCATAATTATTTTGTAATTATATTTTTAATTGGGATTCTGTTACCCATTTATTTAAACCACCATATATCTTATATTTAGTGTTTCTTTTTCACTGTGTCCTATTTGTGAAATGAGATAATGCACAAGACAGAATCTTAAAAAGTGTCCTGAACACATTTTAGTATGTTGGAAAAAACTGAAACTTGGTAAGAAGTTATGATTAATTTGTTATGATTTTTAACATTTAGGAAGACAAAAGCATATAGTAAAAACAATTAATGTATCCTGTGTTCTTAACCCACAATGAAATCGGGAAATGTTTGTAATAACTGGGAAATAGTTTAAATAAAAGGAAAAATTTGCTAATAACTTGTGTTGTTCTTGTTTTTAATACTTTTGAATGACATTACCTGTTCTGATTTTCCTGTCTGCGATTTGGGCTGTACAATAATGATGATGAATTGTGTTGCTTTTTGTTTAGAATCTTTATCAAGTTTCACCCACAAAATATACAGTCAAATCACTTTACAGTATATTCTGTGAAGTGCTTTGAGATGTCTCGACGATGTGATAAGGCACTATATCAAATGCAAGGATTATTATTATTATTGCCTCATCTTTTGACTTCAGTGTAATCTTTCTACACCTGTGACTTTTGATTTCCCAAGCTAACTTGATGATATGAAGATCATTTGTTTTAAAGTTCAAATGTATATTCTGACCACAGTAACCCTTTCCATTTCTCTACCAAAGGTAAAACATCTAGTAAAAATAAACTTCACTTATGGTTGCACTGAATCTGATTTTGCAAGTCTTCCATAAAGGAAAGTGCAGAGCTATGTGAAACCAGTTTGGATATTGTCATTTGTCACTTCAGGTGAGTGTTCATTCACCAGATGTACGACATCCAATACAAATACTACTGTATTGCCATTTCTAATGATACTGAAGATGTAAATATGTAACCTACCTGAGCGTAACATTACACCGATCTATCAGAATGTGCTGGAATCCAAGGTTTACGGGATATATACTGGTAACCACTGTATAATTGTTATTTAGAGTGATGAGTCCTCAGTGGTTGGAGCACTTGCCTTGCAAGTGAGAGACCTGGGTTTGATTCCCGCCAGAGTGAAACGTTGGGTAAGTTTCCTTACTCCACATGCCTCTGTTTACCGAGCAGTAAGTAGGAAGCAGGTTGATAATCGATTGGTGGATTGCTTTACCGGGGCTAATAATTCCCTCCAAAAAAAAATTAGTCACTCAATCCACGACTGTTTGTGGGATACTGCTGTGAACAATTAGGCTGTGTTTCACCCACAAAATATAGAGTCAATTAACTTTACAGTATATTCTGTGAAGCACTTTGAGATGTCTTGAAGACGTAATAAGGCACTATATCAAATGCAGGGATTATTTTAATAGCTGTGTATGAAATGGATGGATAATCTTGATCTTGGTACACGAATTTGATACCAGACATGCAAATCTTCCAGACTTGCTTGAATCAAATAAAAAGGGCTCTACAGGTTACAAAGAACCCGGTAAGAGGAATTGCTTTAAAATAATTGTTTTCATTAAAACCTCTATACTTATTAAGATTTGTTTCCCTGCTGCTTGAAATGGTAAGTACATTACAATGTGTAATGGCAAACTGCCTGGTGTGGACAATGGTTTATGGAATTCAATTAAGTTATGTGCTCAAACACTGTTAAGACGTGTAATCGTTGTATTTAGGTTAAGATAAAAATAGCATCTCGATTTCAGGGCTTTCCAGGGTGAATATTGTGCACAAAAATACAAATTGTTGCGTATTTCTTAAGATTAATTTACAATACAGTTTGACACAGTCTCGTTCTTTCGCCCATGTTCTCTTGTGAAACGCTCAATGGTCATATCCACACCAATTGCATCCCAATCACCTCCCAAAAATAGTCACTACTCTTCACAGTATATCCCGTGAAGCACATTGAGACACCATGATCCCGGTATGAAAGGTGTCATATCAAATGTAAGCATTTATTTAAGTGTAACACATCAAAATTGTTTCCATTCTTTGAAAAAAAAACAATGGAATTATGATAATGTCTTCAAGCCTCCAACCTCACCCCATTGGCAATCGAAAAGATATCAAATGCAAGGATTATTATTATCATATTATTATTATAAAATGACTTGGCAGCATGTGCATGTCTTATAACCCACATAGCCCACAGACTGTTTTAGTTTTGCTGCCACAAGAGAGATGCAATATTTGTGCAGTGAAACGTGATAAACGGGAGCCCAAGAATATCAAAACCCGAGTCTAATGAAACCATTAACCATTCTGTGTGTATTCCGGTGTCTGAACAGCTGATACTAATGTGCAGTCGAAAGCAAGTGTTCACCTGTGCGCTGTGTTGTGGTAAGACTTCATGTCCTGTGGCATTTGGGATAGGCTTTTTACCTTGAAATGTGCTGCTGTGGGAAAATGTAAAGCGATATTGTGGACACACGAGGAAGAGATGGAGCGTTGTATTATATATTATTCAGAGACTGGATTACAGGTGTCCTTTATCCTGATCACCACATCCTGATTGCACCTTTCACGGTGACCCCAACCCTTCCCGCTTCTGCTTCACATCAGAGATTGATTGCAATCGCAATGAAACATATACCCCCAAAGTCCCGATTCCCCTTCTCGTGGCTTTAATGTCGATCGGTCTCGCGCTGAGAGCAAAATACACAATAAATGCAAACAGCAAAACACAAAAAAAGGGAACGCAATAAATTCTCTAAAGAAACGGATCCGATTATTATTATCTCCGCCTCGACGATATATATCTGCAATGAATGCAGATATATGTTATACCTCGTGGCTTTCTGAGCGGTCTGTCTGTCGTGACACTT